ACACAGGATTTCTCTCTCTCTCTCTCTCTCTCTCTCTCTCTCTCTCTCTCTCTCTCTCTCTCTCTCTCTCTCTCTCTCTCTCTCTCTCTCTCTCTCTCTCTCTCTCTCTCTTTCACACACACACACACACACACACACAGACAGACAAAATCTGTAACATAACGTAATATAAATTGTTTGCATTTTACTGTTTCTCCCTCTCCCTTCCCTTCCCTTTCCGTATCATCATTCTCGCTTTTCTCTCTCTCTCCCTCTTCTTTCCCTCCCTCCCTCACCACCGCCTTTGCTCAATATCACGATCTATATCTAAAAATAACCGATATGAAAATCTGCCTCAGGCCAGCACTCGCACGAAGGAATAAACACTCAAATGCTTCTACCTCCCCCCCCTCCTTTTCTTCTTCTTCTTTCACTTCGCGAACCCCCCCCTCGCGAACTCCCATCATTCTACTTCTCCATTTCGCCCCCATCCCCCCTCCCTTGTCTTTCTTCCACGGATCCTTTCTTCACTTCGCGAACCCCCATCCCCCCTCCTTTTCTTCTTCTTCTTCGCGAAACCCCCTCCTCCTTTTCTTCTCTTCTTTTCTCCTTTTTCTTCTTCTCTTCCACTTCGCGAAACCCCCCCCCCCTCCTTTTCTTCTCTTCTTCTTCGTCACTTCGCGAACCCCCATCCCCCCTCCTTTTCTTCTTCCTCCACTTCGCGAACGCGACCCCACCCCCAAACCCCTTTTTTCTTCTTCTTCACTTCGCGAGCGAACGCGAACCCCCAGCGAACGCGGCGAACGAAGTACTTTCACAAAACTTCGCGAAACTTCGCAACCCCTCCCCCCCTCCTTTTCTTCTTCTTCTTCCACTTCGCGAACCCCCCCCTCCTTTTCTTCTTCTTCTTCCACTTCGAGCGAAAGAGCGCGGGAAGAAACCGGCAGGTCACAAAATAAGACAAAATTAAGCCAAAAGTCATCACACACACACTATGCACACGCAATTGCCAAGTTTGGAAATCTTGTAATGTTAGTATAGAGACAAATATGTAACAAAAACGTTGAAATGATTTGGTGAGATTTAAGTGTTGAATGTTGATCACCTATTATTAGAAAATGTTCTTGTAATCCTGTATTTATATTAGTGTAGATTATGAATAAAAAATAATGATTGCTTTGTGGGTGAATTAATGAATGTGTGTGTGTGTGTGTGTGTGTGTGTGCGTGTGTGCGTGTGCGTGTGTGTGTGTGTGTGTGTGTGTGTGTGTGTGTGTGTGTGTGTGTGTGTGTGTGTGTGTGTGTGTGTGTGTGTGTGTGTGTTGTGTGTGTGTTGTGTGTGTGCGTGTGTGTGTTTGTGTGTGTGTGTGTGTGTGTGTGTGTGTGTGTGGATACTATATAAACCTATGAATGCAAAACGCGCGCTTCCATACCATCAGAGAAACATCGTATAAAAGCAATTTTATACCAACGCTCCCTTACAGTAATCACCCATCAAGACAAGATCACCCTGTGTTTCCCCAAGCTGTTTAAATCCAAATGTTCACAAATCCCGAATGATTATCGATAAAACCTTTTTTTCATGCTGATGAGTCACTTTCCCGCATCACCAGAATGTAAACCGACTGCCTCGCCCTCCTACCCTTTCAGAGAGCAAATGGCAAAGCAAAGTTGAATAGATGTCGCAAAATTTCGTCAAAATGTTAAGCTTATTTATTTTTAAATACAATCGCCATCCTTGTATTTATTCTTACTTTTTTTTACACGGTAGGCCGATTATTTTTTATGTACGTTAAATCAAACATTTTGAACATTTAGCGAAAGTCAAGGAATATGGCCTCCCTATAAAAATAAACAAACATTGATCATAAAAATAAAAAATTATGTAAATAAAATAATATCATTACCCTCCACCTTCTCCCCCTCTCCCACCCCTACAGTCCATACATACAAAAAGTGACACCTATGAATATCATATACAAGAAATCTGTTTACTTTTAATGGTTAATGGTTAATGGTTTAATGGTTAAAAACAAAAATAAATGTGCTAGACATCTAAGGTCATATAGCACTATAGGAAAGTATATTAGAGGAGGGGTGAAGGGTGATAGTTGCTATGCGTCAACTATCTAGAGTGATCTTGTAGGGTTAAAAAAGTTGTGTGAATGGGCTATGGTCGGCTTAGGTAAGGGAATTACACGTGTGTATCCAGGAGGGAATGGAAATGATAGAGGGGATGGAGGGAGGGAGAATGTACTTATAGTTGGAGTTGAAGGGGGTGGGTTGTGTTGGGAGGAAGTAGGAGGAAGTGGTGTAGGGGGAGTATGAGTAGGAGGAGGATGGGTGTCGGGAGAATGGATATCGGCACTAGTTGGAGTTGAGGGGGATGGGTTGTGTTGGGAGGGAATAGGAGGATTGATATCGGTAGTATCAGAAGGATGAATATCGGTAGTAGGCGGAATTGAGGGGGTTCGATTGTGTTGAGAGGGAGTAGGAGGGAGGGTTGTAGGGGGAATATGAGCAGGAGGGGGCTGGATATCGGCTGTCACCGAGTATGGAGGGAAAGAGGTGACTTTGTGTCTCAAGCAGATAGTTTTGGATATCTCTCATAGTTTCTGCAGTGGAGTTGGTTGGAGAGTTTTGTGAGACAAAGGTTCTCTTCTGAGGGGGGGGGGAGACTGGTGTCTGAGGAATGAAGGTAAAGTTAGGTGAAGGTGAGTATGCATTAGGGGAAGAAGGGGTGGAACGTTTAGTCTGTCTGCTACGGGGTAGTGCGGGGAGGGAGAGGGGGATGGTGTTGGGGCAGTAGTTGAGATTGGAGCTGTAGTTGAGATTGGAGTGTCTGCTTGGGGGAGGTAGAATGTAGAAGTGGAAGTGGGGAAATAAGTAGGTATAGGGGAGGGTGTAGGAACATCTTGAGGTGGAGGGGGAGGGGCAGAGTGAGCGACATTAATAGAAGAGTGTTGCCTGAGTAAGGAGCTGTAGGGGGATCACGAAAAATCGGTCCCATTTAGCTGGGCTAAATAGAGTATTTAAGATATTTGTAGGTTGGTGGTGTTAGAAGGACGGGGACGTGTGGAAGAGGGAGAGATGGAGAATAAAGTTGTAAGGTAGTAATAAGGGAGGTTGGAGTGTTTGATGAAGAAGGTTGTAGAGGTAGAGGTGATGCAGTTGAGGAAGTTGGGAGAGTAGGAATGTCTTCTGAAGATTGAGTCGGCTTGGGTGAGTAATGCACTAGTAGGCATTGAGGAGTGGGTAGTAGTTTCAGTGTTCAGAGTTATGGTCAAGTGATAGCCTAGGGTCAGGGAGCCGGTAGAGTCTCAATTGGTGGGGCTATTTGATGAAGGGGCAAGCCTCATTGCCTCTAATATGGGTATTACTTCATTACTAGCCATGGGAAGCCTTGATTATGTAGGGGAAATAAACAGTCCACCCCCTCAGTGCCCCTTAAAGGGGTAAGGGCTAGACATCATGGTTCCTACAGGCCATTCAGGACTTGCACAAGGTCAGCTTTTCATCCATTCAACATGGCTCTTACACCTTAGTAAGTAGATAGTAGAAGGGGTTGGAGAAGGGATGGAAACAGAAAGCTGGAGGGAGAAAAGGCCATGCAAAATTAATTGACTCGAGGGCTGAGGCCCTAGGCAGGGGAGATCCCTGCATTGTGTCTCAGTCTCCGTCTCCTAAGGCCGCCCACAACAACAATGGGCAAGGGATTGGGGGGTCTGTTTACTTTTGAGACTTTGAAAGAAAAAATGCGTATTTACTTATATTGTGAACTTTTATTTATACAAGAATACAGCACAAGAAGTCAGTGAAACAATATAAACATTTATAATCAGATATGTCTGACTAGAAATGTTACTTTTTGTCTAAAGTTCAGAAAATTGTGTGTGTTTTAATAATAACATGTTTCAATTTTCAAACTTTGCCCTGTTAATGGTACAGATTAATACCACACACATCAAATAGCTATATAAATGAATAAATATACATATGTATATATCTATGTAGATAGATATACATAGACACTGTCATAAGCTGTATCAAATGTATGCTTATAGCAGTAACTTTTTCTTTTGTGTCTTGAGTGCTCAATAATGGGAGTTAACTAATTTTGCTTGTAATATGATTAGTAATTAATACTGCAATCCTATGAGTAGAAGAATGATAGAATAGAATATTCTGTATTAGGGCATTATCCTACATGGCACATGTTTGTAACTGCCCTATTTGACAAGTAACGGTATTGACCACATGATACATGATTTCCTAATTGGTATCATATAAGCTCAGTAGAAATTACCTGTATACTCATACCAGAATCATGACAGCAAAATTTTACATAGAAATTCCATAGATACTTGAAGGAACTGGTACGGAAATTCAAGCACCGGTGTCAGGTGTACTGGGGTTTCTATGTATAACTGTCCTCCCTAACAAGCTATCAAACATAAGGTATATTACACATCTGTATTGATATGTAATGGCATTATTCCATCTTGTGTATCATATGTATTACAATTTTGAGTCAGTACTTCCTAAAATTACTAACTGTATCACTTATTGACTCTCTGAACATATATATTACATTCATACTTTTCGAAGTATAAGAATTACTTCCTGAGAAGTAAAAACAAAAATATTATAATTCTAAATCAATTCATAATCTACATATTTTTTTAACTTACAAATGGACGGATAAGTAACACGACTGCACCAAAATTCAATATGACTATATCATAGTATAGCTCCCGTGGAAATAAATCATGGGTTTTAAAGCTATGGGATGGTGAACAAACTGCAGAAATTTTAGATCCCAGAAGGAAAAGAAAAATACAAAAAGATCGAGAGCACATATATGCTACCACTTCATGAAGAAAGGAAAAAAATATTTATACTATTAAAAATAAAGGGACCAAGAAGTGTACGAATTATGGTGTTTTCTCTCTCTCTCCTGTCTCTTCATTTGGGTCCCACTCATTCCGCAGCTCAGATGACACTTCAGTGAAGATCGTGTCCCACTTCCATACAACATCAGGCTTGAAGGTTGGTAAGAAAAATACAAAATTAATAACACAGCTTTAAAATCATCTTGATGTGACAGATATATAGGTTAAATGTTGGTCTTCAATACAATATCTCATTAATCATTATAGTTTACTCCCTAAGATTCTTACCTCTCTTATATCTGATTCATTTGACAGACAGTTGGTTAACTGTCTCAGGTCTATGTCATCAAGAGTTGAAAAGGCAGCATGTCGCAGCAAATCTGAATCTAACTCCTTGTATGTTGCAACTCGGTTGACGGCCACACTGAAATTGGATTTTTAAAAGATATTAATCGAAATGAAAAGTATGAACTTAATTGTCTATAGTGCTTGTTAATATAAACCAAGTGAGGATTCCCCTTAATGCAGATCATATTCTTGTTGTATACTTTATCTTTACCTCATATGGAGCTGTATTTGATGTAATGCCATTTATGGCATTTTAATATCATTAACTTATGGCATCTGATACTTTTTACTGCATTGGGGTGCCACTTGACAATTCATATTTACTTTATTATTCAGAGAGAAAGAACAGATATATGTATTGATAAAGAAACTGAAAATAAATGCCTTCATAGTTACCTTGGTGCCTGAGCAATCTGTTGGGTAAAGTCTTCCTCTACAACTTCATCCAGATCAGGAATAACTGGTATATCTAAAAATAAGAAACATTTTTTAAAGATATTTGATACCAAAATATGTAGTGTAAGATAGCAAAATTGAAAAATTATGATCCAGCAAACCAAAATAAAAATTATCTTTTTGTTCATCATGTAAAGCTTGATGTAGAAAAAGTAAATCATATTTTTTTCAGTGCACTGTACCAGTGTCTGAGTCTGAATCTAGTTGAAATCTCTTGTCTTCCTGAGGAGGCCCAAAGTCTCTGAAAGAAGAAGATACATTCAAATTTACTTAGCTATCAAATATACAATAATACCAATAATCCTATATTATAAAAGGAATCTTTAATAATGACTAAAATTTATAGCCAAAGTAAGAAAAAGAGCAGATATTACACAGGCAATGTGAGAGGATTGTTTTTAGACACAACTCACCCTGTTTTAGCAGAGCTTGCCCAGCCTCCTGCTCGTCTACCCGCAGGGGGTCCTGAAATTGGAGCCTCATGCTACAAAATAAAAGAAAATTGCATATTAACATGGTTAATGATGAAAGCTGTAGAAAAAGGTGCAGATGAAAATAAATAATGTATTCTGGGATGTCATTCATTCTCATCATACTCTCTGCAAATCACCAACACTTCTCCTACTCATGATGGGTGACGACATCCTTTCACTTCATGGCTAAACAATCACTCATACTAAGATGATGTTCCATCATGTCATGTATAGCTGAATCTGCTTTAGATCCTTAACAATTGTTTACTTGTTTGGTCCTGCCCGAACAAGTGAACAACTTGTTTGGCATATCAATAGCTGCAAGGTTTAATGGTAGTGTTATAAATAATACTATTACATTAAGCACAATGAAGTTAAAGTTATAGCAGAATTGTAGAGAAGTTATAAAATGGTTTGTTTTACAGCTGTTGACTGATAAGTTCAGAATGTTTTTAACCATTACCAGAATATTCATAAACTATTATCTCATCTTTGAATAAAGTTGCATATGCATACACAAAGCAACCTACATTATTCCCAAATAAAACAATAAAGCTGAATACAGTCATTCTTTTTCTGCTCACTTACCTGTGGTGATGCTGCACTACTTGTAACAGGAGAAGCAAATAAGTCATCTGAAACACCTAATGAGTCTGGCCCCGAATTTCCTGCTGCTCTCCTACCCTTTCGTGGAGAAGCCTATTGGGTAAAGATGATCAATCTAAGGCATTATCCCACGTCACTGCTACATCAAATACTATGAAAAATTCCATATGCATTTTATAACTTGAATATTTAAAATTACAAATACTACACAAATTAAAAAGTAATTTTTCGCAAATGTGTATCAAAAATGATCGCAACAATTTTGATATTGATGGATTCCTATATTCCTATACCCTCTAGTATACATATATATTGGAATTATGCCATGGAACCTCCTAAAACTTCACATTTTGGGGCTGCAAATTTAGGGGAGGGCATGAAAGGTACCAGGAAAATTATTTGGAAAAAATAAAAATATATATAGAAACTGTCACTATACTGTCTGACGTAGCAGGCTGTGCTGCCTGCATCCCCCCTATGAAGACAGCCGTACCCCAGCTCCCACCTATGAAAACTAAGAATCCAAAATATATGTCCAGCAGAAGAGAACATCAGACAGACGGTACTGGGTACATATTACTTGTACACTCTACCCTGCCATGAATTTGTGGAGGATTCTTTATCTTCCATTGTGGGATTGCAGGAAAGGGGTTGCAGCCTCCTGTATTAAACAATATTGTGACTAATTCTGTGTATATTAATCATAGTTTCCCTCACAATTTCCCTGGTACCTTTCACGCCCTCCCC